GGGTTCTGAAGACAAGAAAAAAATGTTTGAGCCCTGGGACACCAGTCTAATTGATGAGAAGAGTACTGTAGGAGACTTAGAACAACTGACACCGAGGAAGAAAAAAACCTAGATGTAGTGAATTTAAAGCCAAGGAATATGAATGCATTAAGGAGGAAAGAATGCAGACTTATGCCTAATGATGATGGTAAAAAGATTTTATGCCTTGGTTTGCCAGGATAACTTTGAATTCTACTTATTGTCTAAGGATAGCTACTAATAGCACCTTATTTATTCTGAGTGAAATTGTCAACCAACTGATAGGTCAAGTAAGAACAACTGAAAACTGATTATTATATTTAGAAATGTGAAATTCATTAATGTTTTTGATATAAATAGTTGTGATGAAAGACATGGGGGTAAAATCCTGATCAGAGGAGTTTGGCATACAATGGGAGAACAGGAACTCGAGGGAATAAAGACAGACACATGACTCAAGAGATTCTGCTGAAAAGGGAGTAGAAATTTAGGTGGTAGCTGGAGGGAAAATTACTATAAGCCAAGACTGGTAGAGTGTTACTTAATGGTGATCCTCAACCTGGCTGGATTAAGTGGTGCCTAGCAGATCAGTAAAGCACAGTTCTGGGTGTGTCTGTGGTGGAGACCAGAGATTATTGGTAGGTGGATTCACCCTGATGTGGGTGGCACTATACAACAGGCTTGCAGCCTGGATGGAATGAGAGGGAAGAAGGAAAAACTTGGCTTGCATTTGAAAAACTCCATTCTGCTTGAGTACATCTTTTGCTACTAGCATTTCCCGTAAAAATCAGACTTCAGCTTCTTCACCCTTTCAACATAGAGTCATGCAGGGACTTTCCAGGGAGCTTCCTGGCCTTCACTGTAGGATCGATACTGCATCCTTGATTTCTCTTGTTCTGTGGCTTTCAGCTTTGTTGATTGGTAGCTGCTTGTTTCTCTGACTTTCTTGCATGCAGATGCCATTGTTGACTCTTCTATCTCTGATCCTGTGAGCCTATCTGAAAAATCCCCTGTGTAGATAGGTAGGTAGGTCGGTATGCGGGTGGGTAGATAGATAGATATTTTCCTATTATTTCTGTTCCTGTAGAGAACCCTAACCAATACATATATGATTTGTTTATTGTTTCTTTGGGTAAGATGGGCTTCTCCATCCTTGCTTCCTTTCTTCCTTTGCCCTCTAAATGTTATATTTAATCTGAGTGTACTAACTTTCTATTACTATAGCAAAATACCTAAAAAATCAACTTAAAAGGAGGAAAGATTTATTTTGGCTCATGGTTTCAGAGGTTTTAGTCAGGGTCCTGTTGACCTTATTATTTTTGGGCCTGTGTCAAGGCAGTATATCATGGTGGAAAATACATGGCAGAGGAACCAGTTCACCTTATGGTACCTGGGAAGCAAAGAGGAAGGAGAAGGGGCTAAGGTCTCAACATGCTCTTCCAGGGCACACCTCCAATGATATCACTTCCCTCTACTAGGCCCCATCTCTTAAAAGTTCTACCACCTCCCAAAAGCCCCATAGGCTGGTGGCCAAGTATTTAGCATATGGCCTTTAGGGAATATTTAAGAACCATTCAGAACATATGGTTAACTCCTAAGCATTTCTTTTCATTTCAATTATCTTCCTTGGTAATCTTACAGATTTTCCTGATTACAAATATAAACTAATCCTGATCCTTTTTTATCCTGATTTGATCTCAAGATCTATGAATGAAGCTTTTAGATTCAAAAAGCTCCTTAGATATAAATGAAAGAGTATCTTACACTTAACATCTTCCAAACATGAATTTCATACACCTCTTCACCAAGTCTACTTCAGCCCCATGTCTTTTTTTGTGTGAGGTGTTGTGTGCACAGCACCTCACTTCTTATATGGTTGTTCAAGCCAGAAACCTAGTGATCATTTTTGATATTTCTTGCTCATCTCCCTGTATTCCACTCATCACCGAATTGTCTCAAAGCTACCTTAAAGTGTAGATATTATACTTACCAGCCTTGGTACCATTTGGATTCATTTGTACTCCATTTTCATCTTGTATCTTTTCTGTTCTATAACACTGGAGATTTAGCCCGGAAAGCTATGTCTAGGCTCACAGGTCAGCTGGTTTCTGGTTGAGTACCACTCATTGGAAAGATTGGTGGCAGGATAGGAGAGAACAGGGTGTTTTCTTCATCTACTCTATTTGAGGTGGTGTTTTCTCAATAGTTCCAGCTACCACTGAAACAACTGTAGGCCAGAAACTCCAGTGATGCCATCTCCTTACCTGTCCCCACAACCGAGAAGGATGAAGTTATCTTGCTAATGGTTAATCTTTAAGATAATTCATTATCAGCTTTTCAGCTCTTTTATCACCTGACTAGAAACTCCACAAATTAAATTTCCTCTCTTTTCCTCCATTTTCAGTAGAATGCTTTCTAACTGTTTTTTTTTTCTTTTAATTGAATCTTCAGAAATACTTATCTTCACTCGCTTTTCTCCTCTTCCCAAATACATTCTAAGATACAATTATCTCATCCCTGGCCAGGCCCTCTTCCTGGTCATCTTCACCTCTAATCCTTCTTTCCTCTAATCCATTCACACAGTTGCCAGAGTCATCTTTAAAAACTCAAATCATCCCATTTAATAACTTGCAGTTGTGCATAGAATTGCCACTTAATCTACATAGATTCAACCCTTAGTCTGCCTATATGGCCACATATATGTTGGTCTCTATGTCTCTAACATCATCTCACTCATTCTATGCCACATCCTTCTCCTGACCTCCTACAGACCTTATCCTTTCCATAAAACTCCTACTCATATATTGCATTAAATTGGTGCTTTCCCCTGTTATTTTCCTTTTTGGTTTTCTGGCCTTTTATTTGATGCAATAGGATTTCTAATTATGCACTTACTTCCATGTTTACTGTTTTTCCCTTTTCACCAAAAGCTTCTAGAGGTCAAGAATAAGACTATAATGTTCTTCATCATTTTACCAGTGCCAGCTTGATTGGTAGGCTGTTTTTCTAGAGGACAGCAGATAGTATTTGAATAAATGAACAAATCAATAGTAATTATTCACACTAGCATTTTCTTCACTCTTAGAAAATGGTAGAGTATACCTACTAAACAAATCAGCTGTTATATTTGGAGTTATACTATAGAGTCAGCAAATGTACTACTAGTCCTACTGTTTGAAATAGGCTTGGGGAATCAGAATATAAATAGTAATTGATCCTTTTCCAAATCTAATACCTCTTTGTATCTGTCTGCTTTCCTGTCACTGTGACAGACTAACACTTTCAAGTTAAAGGAGAAGAGGTTTAATTTGGCTCATGGTTTTGAGGTTCAGCCCATGGTTTGGTGGCTCTAAGACAGAAACATCATAGTGGAAATGTATAGTGGATCAAAGCCACTCACTTCATGGCAGCTGGAAGACAGAGTACAAGGGAAGGGTGCTAACAAGACATATACCCTCCCAAGGCACACTCCCAGTGACCCACCTTCACCTGGGCCCCACTTCCTGATAGCACATTCAGCAACAAACATCAGTGGATTCATCCACTGGTGTATATAGCATCCCTGTGATCTGGTGATTTTCCCAGGCCTCTTATAATCCAGTCAAACTGATGATTAACTGTTACTCTTCTCTTACCCTTTATTATTCTTATTTTTCTCTGGACTCTTTCCAATGCACTCTACATTCCAAAGAAAATACCAAAGTTCTTAGCCTGACATGTAAGGCACTTATTAGTCCAGTGCCAACCTTTTCCCATATCCAGGAAGTAGGTGACCCATTTCTGTCCTCAGAGTCCACTTTTAATCAGTATGGCTGTCTGAGAAGTACAAACCCACAATGCCACTTCCCTTAGACCTCCCTTCAGTAAGAACACCTTCTCTTTCTTGTTGCTGGAGAAACCCTGATCCAGCACAGCACAAACACTTCTTCTGTTAAGCTTCCCTTAACCTCCACTCCCGTAGTCCTTCTATGTACCCCAACATTTCCTTTTCAGGTAGTTTATCACCTATTTTAATTCCCCCTCCAAAATCTCACCATACACTAGACGATTTGCAGAAACCATTTGATGTTCCTATTTCCATTCCAACACATGATGCAAAGTCTGAAAGGCATTAAGTGCAATTAGGGCATTAAGCTGGCAATGAATTGGCAACTGAGTGAACTGTAATTGGCTTTTGCACACTTATACCATCTCAAGTAATAATTTTGCCACAACAAATTTCTATTTGTTTTCATTCTCCCTTTAGTTTCTGAGTTCCACTTCTTAATGGTTGTTCCCCTCTCTTAAAACTCTTCGTTTCATAGCTTTAAGCTCAGCCACAACCCATCTGCTCCCCTCCCACCTGGCCTACTGACTTTGTCTCCTCTTCCCACTCTGATTTTCTTCCTTCTCAGTGTCAAATCTGAGAGCCTTAGAGACTCTTCTCTCTGCAGGGACTGGTGGAAGCTGTCAGGACTTGTGATCCTAGGGGGGATGAAAGGGGCACAGAGTGGCTCTGCTACCCACTGCCCACCCTTACCTAATCTTCTTCAGTACTGGGAGCAGTCCTGGCCCTGATGAGCTAATCCATTCTGCCTCAACCGTGAGGGTGCAGTGGGAGGAGACAATCTGCAAATCAAAGAAATAATCAGACTAATTTGCATCCACTATTGATTTTGGCTCCAGGAAACGTTAACAGCAACAGGGAGTGAGACCTTAATACCTCTTTATGCTGAAAAAAACCTCTTCTGCCTTTTCTATTCCAGCAGTATTGCTATGGAACAATTCTGTCACTTAATTGGTGAGATTATACAAGGCTAGATTCCTCTTTGCAGAGTGATGATGATGGTCTCTAACCTTTTCTATCAAGACAGCCTCTTACTTCTTCAAAACCATTCCTTTTAAAAAGGTAGACATAAAACACTGATGCTTTTCTGTATGTGTATTGCTCTTTTTTTTTTTCTGTGATGGCACCCAGAATTATCTGCTTTTTCTTTCCACAGTGTTCTTCCTTGGATTAAAGGACTAGGAGAAAACCCTGCAACCCTGTGAGTCCGCCCGTTTGTTGAAATCAGTTCAAGATCATCCAGGTCTGCAAAACTCGGCTGAAGCAGCTTGTTGCATAATTTACCAGAGAAGAGAGGGCCATCTGGAGAGCCAATCTGGAGAACTCGAGCAAAGGCAGAGTCTTTTTTTTTCTCCCCCTCTTAAGTTATCCTTATTGACTCTCTGCCTATATTAGGCCTCCGCACTCCTTGGCCTGCATTATGAAAGATGGCTCTCCAGGTCAAAGGCCTTGGCCTTCTGGCATCGAACTCTGACAGAGTACTACCTGGCCCACAAATGCCAGTAGCCGCACCTACTATAGCTGTTCAAATCTTTCAGTCAACTCCTACCAGTCTTGCCCCATGACATTGTGGGGTCCTGTGTCATTCCAAAGGACAGCTGGTTTACGCATATGCAGAGGAGGCAGCTACCCACAAAGGGATGTGGGAAAGCTCTACCAAATGAAAAAAAATAAAAAATGAAAAGAAAGAGAGAAATCTGCCTTAACCTCCACTCAAGAAGTAAATCACGGCTTCCACAGAGATTAAATCCTTTGTGTTAACGAAATCTGTTTTTAGAGCATATAAATGATTCTATAAGATAGCACAAGAGAACTCTCATCAGAGAATAGTCTTCTCTCAATTATTTAGGTGATCTTTTAAGGGGTACAAAGTGTTGTTACAGGATTGCTCTTCCTTCCACAGAACACAGGGAGCAAGCTAAAACCCAGGGAGGAAGGGATCTCCACCAGGCTGGGCCACTGCCTGCTATGCATTCCCACCCTACCCCCTGTACCTGGCCTCCTTGAGCCTCAAGCTATCACCTGGGTGCTGGCACTAGTTGGTCTTTAGTGATTTCCTGAAATGTTTCACAGAGCAGCTTTCTGGGCTGGGAAGGAAAAAATACGTACATCGATTTATGAGGTCTGCCACAGGTATGGGATAAGAGGATGTGCTATGAATTTTCTGATCTTGTGCTAGTCATTTCTCTTAGTCTACCTGGCCTGATATGATCATGTGATCATGCAGTCATTGTCCATCCTAGAACTCAGCCAGTCAAAGTAAAATATATTAGAGGTGGGCACTAGATATATTATATAATTTTCTATGCTTAATTTTTTACCTATATAATAAGAATAACAACACAATTAGATTTTTAAAAACCAAATATATGCATAAGTCCTGCCACATTACTATAAGCTCAATTAAAATGTATTTGTTTTCTTTTTCTTTCTTCTGTGGTTTAAATGCATGGGGTTTTACCCAAACCAATTTTACCGGTTCAGCAGTGTAGAATTTCCTCCATGTGTGCTTCTAGGGTACTAAAGTTCAAGCTTCAGGGCTCTGTTTACTGAATGGCAGGGCACCTTCAGCTTCCTTTCCTGCCAGAACCTTGAACTTGGGCATGTGGGGCAGGGGGAGGATTTGTGCAGTCTTGCATGGACGTCTACCATGCCTCAGATGAACAATGTTTTAATTATGGCCTTTCAGTCTCAACTGCACCTGCCCATTTCATTATCAGAAGGGAAATCTCTCTTTTCTTTCTTGCTTCACTGTTATACTTTAGAACCATGATTGTTTTGCTGAAATAGATATTGACTAGAGAAGGACAAACCTCAAAGGGTTTGGATTAAGTTCTCTTTCTGATAAACATGATGGAGTCTGAATGCTCCAGAGAATCATAGTTAAATGATCTTAACCTTTGGAGCCTATGAAAACTGGAAGAAAAATATCTTTCTTACTATTTTCTTTGGTTTGTTGTCCTCAGAGGAGACCAAGCTGCAAGCATGTGTCACTACAATGTTTTTAGCTGCCATAATTTGATAGGGTGTTTTGAGATCCTAGAAAGACAATACTTGTGTGCATACAAAATATGAATAATAAACTGATCCTTAGAGTATGAGGGGTTCTTAATCTCTTTTACCTTTTCGACTGTCAAAGTGACACCCTGGTGAGGTCCGTCATCCCTTTCTTTTTAAGGAATATCTTCAAGTGAATGCATTAAAACACAGAGGATTTAGAGAAACTCAATTATATTGAAATAGAGTTTCCTCTGAAAGCAAATTAGTTTCTCTTAGCATATAGAAAGATCTACAAAAGCAACATTTCCTGCCTCTATTATTAAAAAATGTTCATTATTTGGTAAAGGCATAAAATTTAGAAATTGTAATAAAAGTATAAAGAAAAATTTGAAATTGTCTACAGCTTCAACTACAGAAGAATCTCTAAACATCCACTCATCATGGAGACAACATTAGATTACAAAAAGAATTGTTTTCTTCAATGCACAAATCACAGTAAAAGTAAAATGAATGGTGACTGCAACCTCTGAAACCTTGCAGTCGACATCTAATTCTGGAGTTTTTGAGTTGAATGGGACACAAGAGCTTGGCTAATCAGGACACCAGACCTAGTTTGAGTGTCAAATTCATCTAGGGAGATTTTTTAAAATTTTTAAATTTTTAAATTCTACTCCTGGCCTTCTGACCAAGAATTTCCAGAGACAAGGTTGGAAAATCTATACTTTGAAGGCTCCTTAGGGACATCTGATTACCAGTAAGTCTCAAGAACCACTGATAATTCACCCTGCCCCTCAGTACAGAATGTTCTCCAAAGACTTCTTTAAAGGTTTCTTTCAAAGCAAGCAAGTTTGCAGGTTCAACTCAAATGTCCCAACCCAGACTGTCCTAAACTGACACCACCATGGCCTATGACCGTAATAGAAAAACACAGGTCATATTTCATGTTCTGAAATGTTGGTCTCTGGTTAGTTGCATCCTCATCAGATAGCTACTTTCTATTTCCCATGCCCAAGTACATAGAAGAAGGGGCTGGCAGGGTGGGAGGAGGGGGAAGGGCTGGCTCCAGCATGTGGCCGGACAGAGTGAGAGCTATATTTGAGGGAGAACTGGGGTGGGGGACTGATTTTTGGAGTGACTCTCTGGATCTGGATCGTGGGCTTTTTCGTCCTCATGAAGTCTATGAGCTGCATTTTATTCATTAGCACCTACAAGGGACTAATTGCCATCAGGCATGTAGGTGGAATTCCTGGCAGGGAGCAAGAAATGGAATAGGTTTGATGACAACCAATGATCTGCCAAAGCCCTGTCAGAAGGAAAACAGAGTCTTGCTGTCACTCATCCACCCCTTTAAATTCAAATGAAGATGCTTCTGGGTAGGGAGGGGGAGGGGTCTGGCACATGTCCAACTTTGCATTGAATATACTGTACATTTTTACTGTATATGTGAAAGTCCCTGGTTGTGGTGGTGCTGTTTCTAAAATGTGGGAAAGAAAGAGAGAGAGAGAAAGAAAGAAAAAAAGAAAGAAAGAAAGAAAGTTAGGCCAGCTGTACTTGTTACTTCCTGTAATATAGATGGCTGGAAGTGATTAAGGAATTCACTTAAGGGCATCAAGGGGGTTGCATACTTCCGTAACTGTCTGCACCCTCTCCTATGAATTCTGTACATATTTGCATGGGGCGAGGGGGGATGTGTCTTCATTTTCTCTAGTAGGCTATGCTCAGCAAAAGACAAAGGCTGTCTTGAGACATTCGGAGGTCACAGTCCTGCAAACTGAACCAGGATCCTCCAGGCAGGAAGCATTTTAAGGTACCAACAAAGCCACTCATCCAAATTTCAGTTTTGCATGAAACAGTAATTGCACGAAGTTAGACACACGAGGCATGGGCTTCCTGGATGTGTAATCACATCCCCCAGGACAGTGGGTAGTACTATCAGTGGGTAGCTGTGCTTATCTATTTAACTCAGATCTAGTTATCCCTGATAAATGCCAAGCTTGCTCTGAGGTCTCTCAAGTAATAAACTTTCCCAGCTCAAGTAAAACTCACTCTTTTCCACAAGGGATAGCCCCTACTTTCCTGCTCATTCTTGCAGCCCATTCTCCTCCTTGCTATTTTCGCTCCAGGGAGAGAGTAAAGCAGTTCCAACCTCTGCAGTGCAGATCTACTGTTCTTCCACAAAGCAGAGGCATGACTCAGCTACCTCATGCTGATTTACTGAAGGGAGCTGCAAAATCTCTGGTCTCCAGTATATTTAGCAGAATGGTCAAAAATGATCTATCTTGGTACTTCTATTGTAGAAGAGGAGTTCAATTAGATGACTCCATAGAAGTCTTGAAGTCAATAAGTTGGTGATTATTTACAATTACCACTACAGCCTATGTAACATTATGGGATTTCCACCCCCAGCAAATGTGTTTTCAAGAAGTTTATCTTACTGAATTACTTGGCTATTTATTTCACAAGTGCCTTATTTTGTTTTTCTATGCTTGGAATGACTACATTTTCTTAAGATGACTACAAATGTTATGCCAGTGACATTTGTAGGTGGAATCAAAACAGCATTAATTAGTTTTATTGAAGAGTTCCCTGAGTTTAGCCTGTCTGTCAGTAACAAAGACACAGTATATTTTCCATAGCTGTCATGAGTAACTAGTTCTTCATGGCTCAACATGTTACCTTAAAGCACCTCTACCTGAAACCAAAGACATTCATCAGACACACAGAGTCTATGTGGGAAGACTTTTACTGGTAGAAATGGTGGTTAATGGGCATATTTGTCCTTTTTTCTGTCAGATTATATTTTTATCCAGTCCCCTAATGATGCCTATAAGCTTTGCAATCACTGTATTACATTAATAAGTTGGAGTTTACGCATTTTCCAAGAAGGAATACTTAAATACCATGTTAGTAAAATTTCTATAAACCCCAAGGGATATTGGAGATAGATAAAGGACAAAGAAGAATTCAGGCTGTACAATTAGGAAAGGGGAGTTATTTCTCTACATTTCATTCTGTGCCCTGATATTTGAAAAACAACCCAGCTGGTTCTTGCTGCATTGTCTACAGATACATAGACATGATCTACAATGCTGTGAAACAGGAGGCAGGTGGAGGGGAACAAAGAGAATACACATGAAAGAGCAGAGAGGAAATGCATAGATTATAAAATTACACCAACTGGCCACAGATAAGGCACATCTAAGAGACTGTAGAAATGAAAGGCATGTGTACAAATGAGGATCCAAAAACCTTCTCTTTGAACTTCTTCTCTTAATCCATTTCCACTAGTGGATGAGCAATTCCTCGTGTTTTCAAACTGAGGAATGGTGGATTGGTGTCTAAGCAAAGCCCCTGTATCTCACAAAGGGTTGTACGAGCTGATAATACAGTATAATATTAAAGTAATTGTTCATAAAATTGGTAAAGTGGGCAGCATATAGCAAAGAAAGGATTTACTGTGAACGTTAGGATCTTATGTGCTCAAAGAAGGTTAAAAGGGGGGGGGGCAGGAAACTTTTGATCTAAACCCAATGTTAAAGTAGGGATCCTCCTGGAAAACAAGATGAGCTAAGGGATCCAAGTGGAGAGAAGTCATGAACAAAGGCACACGGGTTGGTGAACAAGTGCCTGGAATGTCCAGAATAATCTGGTGGCACTTCTACCATGCTTCTCAGATGTCTGTCTCCAA